CTATAGTGATCGACAGGATAGAAGAAACCCCGGTGAGTCAACATTCCTTAATTTACTGCCTGATTAACATTTAATAATTGTTTAACCGCTCCAATTCTGTGTTCTCCCCATCAGGCAGGATTCCTTTCATCGATTTGGCAAGTAATAATTTTAGTTTAGGGAAGAGCGAGTGCATTGTACCGCATGCTATAGTAGTCGCTTTTACATAAGCATAGAAGCAATCGCAAATACAGTCCACTTTAGTTAATATCTCGCGTAATAGGTTTGAGGTTTGACCGGGGAACTAGATTTTCGGCAGCCTTAAACACGTGGCTCCACCACCCACTATGAGGCAATCTATGGAGGAGACCTAGGTTAGCAGTGAGTTATAGGCTGTAATGAAATCTTTAATTTTTTTGAATCTTCGGTGTAATTATACAATTGTGTAATTGTGTTATTTATTGCTAAAATACTTAGAATAGAAATTAGAAAAAAAAAGGTTTTGGTTAGCTACGGGAATCTGCGTACCGAAGCATACATGTTAGTCACGCTGCAGCTATGTCATGGTTTTAGCACGAATGAGTCGGCTCGTCAGACGAAGAACAACGCTCTCACAGAATACCAGCGTGAAATAGCAGCTTAATGATGCCGCGTTTTGTATGCTGAGTGAAGAGAAATGAACATTCTTTTTACTAGAAACGACACGTTTCATTTTAGTTTTCAGATGTAACTACGCATCTGCATTTTGATTCCTAATCGAGGATAGATGTAGACGTGTGCTCGTTTTTATACCCTTATCCTCCAAAAATAGTAGTCTGAGATAGTATTCGTAATCGTGTTTTGAGATGCCGTTTTAGTTGTGTATATGTTAAAATAAAAGAAAGTAACATTAAAAAAAATAATATCAAGTGTCACGCTTTCCAATTTACATGTTATATGTTTTGATGTGGTATCTGTTGCGACTAGTTATCCTCGAATTTTAATTGGTAATTATTTATACCAGATATTTTGAAGAAGAAGTAGTGTTATGGATTGTATTGCGCTGCAACTGTGCGACAAAATTTGACGAACTAATGCCAAATAGTTTTTCTCTTAGCGTATCGAAGCCGTATTACATGTCTTTATTAAAACTTTTCATATGATATTGTACATAATATATTTATTGCATAGTATTATTTTCTAGGTCGCAAGTTTTGGACAGTTAATGTTCTTTATATAAAATGTTGCATTGTGAAACGTTGAAAGATGTCTTTATCTATGCTGCCTACGAAGTTATACCAAGTCTTGTTAAAATCTGACGACTAATTTAGGAGTTAACAGCGGATATATAAATGGTAAAACATACATCTCAACTAACAAATATTACCTCTGTTTGAGCCCCGCCGAGGGTGTTAATAAAAACATAGCTGAAAACTAAACACTGTGATTATGCTCTGAGTTGCTCCTATTATTCTATTAGATTTGATAGATCCTAAATCAATTCGAAAAAACATCGATTTTTATCCGAGCATGACTTGTAAGGCTAGTGAAATAAACAAAACTAATTTCACGGGAAAGATTGTGAATTACTACATATATCTGCATGAGGTTCTGAAAATTTAATTCAAGCCTAAGCACGCCATTGCAATGTAAGCTCGAAACAGACTTGCCTCGCGAGCATACTAAGAGTACCTAGGCTGCACTAAAAGTAACGGGAATGGAATATTTCCACTGTTCCTGTCATATTAAAATCTTTTTAATTGAAAACTTCTTGGTTTTAAAAATCGAATACCATTTATTTATTTTAAAAAAGATTCTCGGTCTTGTCACAAGGTTTTGTCAAACTTGTTTAGTCGTTGAGAAAATGGAATTGGCTCGAGAAAATTCAAGACCGATGATTTATTACGATTTTCGAAGTGGTTTAACACAAAAACAGTGTGTTGACCGGATGATTTCTGCATTTGGTGATGAAGCCCCATCCAAAACCAGAATTTATCGCTGGTTTGCTGTATTTCAACGTGGATGTGTCAAGCTCAGTGATGATCCCCGTCAAGGTCGTCCAAAAACTGCAGTCACCCAAGAAAACGTTGATGCTGTGCGTAAGCTGATTGAGAAAGATCGACATGTGACATACAGCGAAATTCAGGCAACTTTAGACATTGCCATGAGTCAAATACAAATAATCTTGCATGAACAATTAGGTGTAAAAAAGTTGTTTTCCCGATGGATACCGCATTCGCTCTGTGAACAGCAAAAAGCGGCTAGCGTTACTTGGTGCGTCAGAACTCTCGAAAGATTCCACGCAGGATCTTCAATATACAACATCGTATCAGGTGGCGAATCCTGGATATACGGATACGAACCCGAAACAAAAAACCAGTCATGAGTTTGGGTGTTCGAAAATGAGTTAAAGCCAACAAAAATTGTTCGTTCACGGAGTGTTGCAAAAAAAATGGTGGCCACGTTTGTCTCCAAAACCGGCCATGTTACGACTATTCCTCTTGAGGGACAAAGAACGGTTAATGCAGAATAGTATGCTAGCATTTGTTTGCCACAGGTCGTTTCTGAACTCCGTAAAGAGAACTGCAACCGCCGCATCATCCTCCATCATGACAATGCGAGTTCACACACCGCACACAGAACAAAAGAGTTTTTAGAGCAAGAAAACATAGAATTATTAGACCATCCGTCGTACAGCCCCGACCTACGACCTAATGATTCCTATACTTTCCCTAAAATAAAGAATAAATTGCGTGGACAGAGATTTTCATCACCTGAAGAAGCTGTGGACGCCTACAAAACGGCCATTTTGGAGACCCCAACTTCCGAATAGAATGGTTGCTTCAATGATTGGTTCCATCGTATGGAAAAATGTGTCAAATTTCGCGGAGAATACTTCTAAAAGCAATAAATACATTTTTAAATAGTAATGTTGTGTCACTTCCTTGATTCCCGAAATTTTCAGTGCCGCCCTCTTATTACGTAGGTACTGTTAATTTTTTCTGTTCATAAAATATATCTTTTTCAACACAAAAATAAACATATTGTAAATTCGTATTATATACATTTTTTATATTTAATTTTATTTATCGGTATATAAAGTTTTACCGTTTGGTGACATGATCAATGACGTGAACGATGGTAATCGTGCTCAATCGCCGATCGTCCACAATCAATAAGGGTAGATCGACTTAATTATGTACTTAGAATGTTGAATACCTCAGTATTCCGTGACGAATGGTAGGTCATCATTGCAGGCCTTCATAAGTCTACTGCTGAAAGTAGGCCTCCCTCAAGGAAAACGCGGTTTGCTGGCTGCCACTCGAGAACCTTTCGTGGTAGATACTATTATTTCATGTTATATATTAAGTCATGTTATATAAAATTGATCGTCCGTATTTCAAAGCTCTATTCGTTGATATCTATTTGGATACGACCCGCGTCGCTCTTCGTCTCAGAATAAATATTGAATATTTTCATTCAATCACTGTCGGGCCACTGAGTCCCGCTGCTCACCCGCAGATACAGCCTCCGGCTCTCTCGCATTGACAGAGACAATTTTATGAAAAACTAACATTATCTTAAACCTTAGTTATTTCAAGAGTTATTTGAATATGTCTGACGTTCTTTATTTTTATTTCAATTATTCGAATAACGATTGAACGTAGTGGAAAATCATGATTTTTATAGAATAGGGTGACAAACGAGCACACAGTCCACCTGAAGGTAAGTGGATGCTGTGGCCCATAGACATCTACATCTGTCAAAATGCAGAAATTAAGTGAAATGAATAATTTTTATTTAATATTGATGATGATTATTGTTCAATACTTTTTGAAAGTCATTTTTTTATTTACCACTGGTTCGTAGAAAAACCTCTGTCCTGGGAAGAATCAACTAGCGGGACTTTTTTTCAGATGCGTTGCCACCTCTTTTTTGCCCGTATTTTGATTCGTAATCGAGGATAGATGTAGATGTCTATGGGCCACAGCAACCACTTACCATCAGCAGGGCCCTCGCTACCATAAGTGCAAAGTGTGCAATGCACACGGGCGTCATTCTTTAGGGGCACCAAAACCCAGGGTCTAAAAACTGCAAAAACTTCCAAAAAAAAAATTTAAAATAAAAGTTGAGATATTAAATAGGGTTAGGTATAAATAGTATATAATCCGGTTACTGCCGATTCCTATGCTGCGAGAACATGTCAGTGTGTTTCTAGATTTTTCCTGTTCACACATGAACAATGCCCGGAGCGCTATGAAAGCGATGCATCGCCAAAGGCGTTTTTAAACCGGTTAGTTCACTGGACCGTGCAACAAGTGCATAAAAACAAGTAATCCTATTAATTTTTACATTTAAAATTATTTTTATTTTGTCAAGTGTTGTGTTGTATAATATTTTGTTTACTACTTCTTTTTCTAAAAAATTAAGTGCTGAATACCTGTTGACTGCAATTTCAACGGTTTGATTTTTTATAAAATGGTAATTGTTCCCTACTTTACTTTATACTATCAACATTAACCCTTTATAGGAATCCTATCGGTTTCCTGTTCCTGTCTGTTTCCTGTTTTTATCTGATAACTTCAATAGATAATATGAGAAAAAACCTACAACTTCTGCATAAAACGTATTTTTTTTCTGTCTGACATAATAAAGCAACTAGGAAGCACGTAAATATAGTTAAAGACCCTGTACGAGTTTAAAAAAGTAATTGGTTTTTTATCCACAACTCGCTTTGTTTTTATGCTTTCGATCTTTTTAAAAAACCATTTTGTAAGTTTTTTAAGGGTAATACGATCAAATTAGCTTAATACTTTTTCTGCCTTTATTTTTGAAAGGGTTTAAGCTGAAAGGGCTTCAACAAATTGCTTTTTACTTAAATATGCAATATGCAAACTTGGTGCTTATTATTGTGATTACTTTAGAAATTAATTCCTAATTCCCATAAGAACTAATTATTTATTTTTTAGGATAAAAGAAAGATACCTTCAGGTGCGAATTTTCGCGAGCAAAAGAAACTGAGACTACAAGAAAGGTAAAAAATGGCTGGATCTTTAAAGCACTTCTTGCAAAACAGTGAAGATTCCACGGAGACTATCGATGCGACCAAATCTCAATATTCTAAATCCGTAATGTCAGTAACCGTCAGTAGACCATCTGAAATTTCAACAGAGGCGACTGCGGTAACATCAGGTCCTGCAACAAATGGCGGCGGTTGTAGCAGCAAAACAGCTTCTACTGATGCAGAGCCCGATGAAGCGATGACACCATTCTCGTCTACAGCACTTGAACAATCCACTTCAGGTAATTCAGTTTGTGTAAGAAGTTCGGTAATGTCAGTTACCGAAATACCTGCTGCAAGTGACACTTTCGATGAAGGCTTTAATAAGACTAGTGTTAACGACGCTCACGTTGCATCTCGGATATCTGAAATATAAATAATATTAGTTAATAAAACATAGTATATGTAAAATATATACACATAAGAAATTGTTAGTTACCTTTTGAACTTGTTGTTTTTCAATAATAAATAAGTACGTGATCATACGGGGACGGTGGCACTTACCGCGATTTTTATTGTAGGATGTAGGTATATTTTGCAACATCGGTGTTGCACCGCGGAGTTCATGATCCCGCGCTTAGTCAGTTGCACTAGAACATCATACGGGGTGACACCTATGTCTCCCTCCCCGCGGATGTACACGCGCTCACCAAAATTTTTTAGTTTATTTTACTCCCAGACGACACCAGTGGCCTACAACACAAACAGCTAGCGTCTATATAATTCCATCCGACCCTGGCTTGTGGGCCGAAATAATCACCAATGAGATAGGTAGAATATTGATTAAACGTGATCCGTCCTTGATAGACATCAGTTTTAGCTTTCCTAGTAATAAAGTTAGGAAAAAGTTTTCGTGCAAATACTTTGTAAGAAGTCTAGAAAAAGTCGAAAGGACTTGGCTTATTTACTCTATTTCTATAGATACTGTATTTTGTTTTTGTTGTAAGTTGTTTTGTAAAACTATCTCTATAGAGTATCTAATTGGTAACACTTGTCTTTGCTAATAAAGAGACACGAAACGTCAATTTTACGCAATAGTTATATGAATACTTGGCTAAATTAAAAAAAATGTTGGAGACATCTACGACTGTTAACGCTCATCACCTGCAGATTTTAGAAAAGGAAAAAAAAATATTGCCGCGACGTGTTGGACTCCAACAGGCGGCAATTATTGCGATTGTTAAGTATGCACAATGCTTGGCATTTCAGGGTTCTTCAAAATTACTTTTCGAACATGATAATGGAAATTTTCTAAAAGCTGTCTCTTTTGATTCAGTGATGAGACAGCACGTTAGCCGAGTGTGTAACTCCCAAACAAAATGTGTTAAAATGACTCATTATTTAGGCGTGCAAGTACAGAATGAAATAACTGAATTATTGTCGTCTAAAGTAAGAAATAATATTTTAGAAATGGTTCGCAATTCAAGATATTTTTCAATAATATGAGATTGTACAACAGACACTAGTCATACTGAGCAAATTAGTCTTGTTCTGAGGTATGTTGTCCTTAACACAACTTCAAAAAACGTTGAAGTTAAGGAAATTTTTATTGCATTTAATCCAATACTGGACTCTACAGGGAAAGGGATATATGTCACATTTGTGACTAAAATTTTGAAAAAATTGAATTTAGATATAAAAAATATAAGGGGACAAGGTTTTGATAATGGGGCAAACATGAAGCGACAGCATGTTGGGCTTCAAAAACGCATTCTTGACACGAATCCGAGAGCCCTTTTTGTACCTTGTGCGGCCCATACTTTGAACTTAACAGTAAATGACGCTTCTAAATTGTCAGATGCTACAATAAACGTTTTTAATCTTGTGCATGAGTTATATAATTTTTTTTCGTCTTCCACAAAAAGGTGGGATATTCTGAGAAAAAATTTCCCTGGGTTAAGTTCAAAGCATTAATTTTGTTAATATTGTTAAGTGAAGATTTGATCTCCCCTGCTGTAAAATATGAAAATGATGTGTCAACATTCTTAGGAAAACAATCTGGAACAAAACTGTTATCTCCCTATATATATATATATATATATATATATATATATATATATATATATATATATATATATATACAGGATGTTAGTGTAAACACCGTTGTCCTTGAAACCAATGGTTTTGTTTCGCTTATAGAAAGTAATTTCAATGAAAAATAACAAAATTTTTTTTGTCAAATCTCAATTTTTTCTTACAATTATTTCACCCTAGGCAAGTAGGGATATACCTACAGAATTCACAACAAAAAAATTCAACATATCGTAGGTAGCGGCAGCGATTCGCGGTCAAGGCCAATGTCACTGTGTCAGTGTGTCAGTCCTTCGCTGCGTCAGTACGGAATGTACGTGTTAATTTGATTTAAAACCGCGCCGCGCAGTGCCGACATTCTACGTCGCTTTAGGTTGTAGTTTTGGTGCGAGTGTATTTAATTTGTAATTATGTCCTACATAAACGTGCAATGGAAATGTGCCTCTTCGTTCACTGAGAAACCTCTACTACCAACATGACGGTGCCCCTGCACATTTTCAGCCGCAAATCAGGGCTATGCTGGTTGAGGAGTTTCCTGGGCGATGAACCGACCTTACCCCGCTGGACTTTTATCTTTAGGGAGAAGTGAAGCGCCGAGTGTATGCAACTAAGTTTCGTAATACGTCCGAACTCAAAAGGCGAATTCTTAGTGTATTTAGAGAAATGACACTGTTGTGCTTCTAGCTTTTACGATTAATGTAAAAGATGATCAAAATGGAATTCATTTACGAGGATTTTATGTAATAGGTAAGTGTAAATAACCAATCAATCAGGCTACACATCAAACTGTACAAATCCTTTGTCTTGGCCTCGCTTTGTATGATCTTTCCGTACAATGAACGGTCAGCTTATGCTTCAAATGCCCTTTGCGTTCCAGGGCCGCAGTACGTACTATTTACGCAGTTTTTACTATTTACTATTATTAATGTTTAATTTTCTTTGTTGTTAAATCTAACTTACATTAATTTGGACTCGTCACGCAACACAAAGGGTAGGAATTTTTATCTGTCCTAAGCAAGTGTGAAAGTATGAAGGAAAAGTTTCATGATAGGTTATGTGTACCATTGTGTTTATATTGAAATGTTGTGTAGGTAGCAAGGGCGGGCGGTGATCTTTACAGTGATTACGTCACTCGAGCGCATATCCATGAATTTACGGACGGTGTCGGACAGAAACTTTTTTAATTTTATAAAAGAAAATAGCGTTTTTTTTTAAAAAAAATCGGATAAATATTTTTATATTAAAGCCAACCACCTATGGTTTCAGTGACAACGGTGTTTACACTTACATACTGTATTATATATATATATATATATATATATATATATATATATATATATATATGTATATTTTTAATGTATTTTGATTGTTATCTCTTTTGTTGTCCATATAATAAATAAAGCCTCTAAGTGAGACAAGATGGTCCAGCAGAATTGATTCAATAAAGCCCCTTAAATTTTATTTAATTAAGGTTTGCGAAAGTCTTCTAGAAGTAACTGAAGATAATTCCTTTCACATTGATGCAAGGCATAAAGCGAGTTCCCTCTTAACGTCTGTACAAAAATTTCAATTTATTTGTGGTATTATTATTTGGTGTGACGTTTTATTTCACATAAATATTGTCAGCAAACATGTGCAAAGTGCTACAATTAATATTAAAGTATACCAAACCTACCTAAAAATTTAGTTGATCACTTCCAGCAATATAGATCTGACCAATCATGTGAAGAAATTCTTCACTTTCTCTATTCTCTTTCTCTTTAAAGACTTTCCACCGTTACCCACGGTCAGGAGGAAATTTAAACCAAAACTGTTTGACTATGAACGCCGAGATGAGGCCTCTCATGATCCAAATACTGCCTATAAAATTGTTTTTCTCTTAAAAATTATAGATCAAACATAAAGTCTCTAAAAAACCTATTTGACTTATTAAATGTGTATAATAATATTTTTGGATTTTTTAGCGACATATTCAAATTAAGTGATAGTGATATTTTAAAACATTGTTCTGTTCTTGAAGAACGACTGACAGATCAGGATAATAAGAATATAGACTCCCATGATTTGTTTAATGAAATTAAAGCGTTAAAGTTGTTTTCATCACCTGATGATACTGACCCCTTAAGTATTTTACAATATATATTTGAAAACAATTTTATCTCTACATTTCTAAACGTAAGCATTTCACTAAGAATTCTTCTGATATTACCTGTATCTGTAGGTTCTTGCGAGCGATCTTTTTCAAAGTTAAAAAATCATAAAAATTATTTAAGATCAACAATGCTTCAAGAAAAATTGTCTAGGCTAGCGATATTAGCAATTGAACAAGAAATTTTTGATGGTATAAATTTTAGCGATGTAATTCACGAATTTGCAGTAGCAAATTCGCTATACTACAATAGCTATTTTGTATTTTTCTATTGCACCTAGCTATCATTTTTGATTTTATAACGAAGTTACCAAGGTATTTTTTATCAGAAGTATCTGCATAGCATATTGCATATTTTTTAAAATATCTAAGTATTAGTAGAAAGTAGTACTATATATATATGTAGACATTAGGCAATATTTCTGTTATTTGTTCCTAAAAAAGATGTGGTTTTTAGTTTTGGGTTGTTTTTTAGTATTTATAAACAATGTGTCTGTACCACATTAGTTAAGTAAATGTTTTAAAATGGGTGTGAACAAGAATTTATTTTAATTTATTTTGTTATGATTTTATTCTGTTTGTTTCAAAATCCTTTCTTGCACACAGGCGCCAGTAGCTCTTACGGGGGCCCTGACCGTCAGGTAGACTGTGTGCTCGTTTGTCACCCTATTCCATAAAAATGAATTTATGGTCAATGTTTTTTGTTTCGTTGGAAAGGAAAATCTTGTAAAGAGAATTAAGAAATATTGAGAATAAATTTTGTACCACGTAAAATGTCATATGCATAAAGAATTTAACCACAAGAATTTAGATCGTATTTTAAGAATTGCTCTAGTAATTACTCTGATATTTAATATGAAAAAGTTTTGACAGTATTAAATGAATTTCTTCTTCTCACCATATATAAGCATATATGTATATTATCTATGGTGTACTACCTTAATAAAGAAAAGCTTTGAAGCCTTTCGAAATTTGCACTAATCGGGTTAAAAGTTTCTATTACAATTATGCTGAAATACCACAGGCAAGAATTTCCCTAAAATTGTTGTTACGTAAAAGATCTGTTTAGCTGGCAGCTTTGTTAATAAATTGTATTAGGGTTTCGCTGAGAGACATCATAACTTCAGACAAACTTTACAAAACTGACAGAACTCGGGCGACTGGCAGTCGACGCCGAGGCGCGCTTTTAATCCGGG